GTGTTCTGTTTATGCAATGTGTTCGCGTAAATATAAGAAATCATTAATGATATATGGCCTGATGCGTTGTCAACCTTGTGAACTAAAAAAAAATACATCACATGCTGTTATTATCCTGGTTTTCGCACCCGTGAAACCGAAACAGACACATAACAGTAGGTGCACTGGTGGACTGTTGCTTATTTGTAGAAATAGGCAAGAAAGAGCAACAGACGGACCACTATCCCATTATAGGCATGCATGAATATAGTGCCAGGGACAAGAAAACACAGTATACCTATTCAAACCTTGCACATAACAAACTAACAATAAAAATTTAAAAATAAATTGTTCCATTTAAAACAAATGCTTGTAAGTTATTTAATAATTTATTGTGTTGTACAATAAACTAAAGTCATAAATAAACTCTACATAAAAATGACAACCCTGCTACGTATTGAGTATCCCAAATCCATTATATCGCTATCCGTTTTGATAGACGCGCGTACCCAGTAAGCTTCTGTAATTGGATATCACATTAGTCCAACTGAAATTTAACGGTAGCTACATGATCGGTTATCTGCGTGCAGGTCGAAGCAAATTCCAGTGCTAAGCATTGGACCGAACATCAGCTACCACTACTAAATGTGACAAACTCGGAATTTTGACTTAATATTTTTCCTTTATTAAAATTAAAACTTAATACGTAATATAACTTTTTTTTACGTGCTAGAGCCATGCTGCAGCTATATTAGTAATATATTTGTAGCACGAATGGGTCCGTTCGAACGGGGTAGGACTACGCTCTCACAGAATACCAGCGTAAAATAGCAGTATGATGAGTATAGAGATCCGGAGACCCTTTTAACTGGAAATGTGGCATTCCATCTTAGTCCTTACGGGTGACAATACATTTGCATTTTGATTCGTAACCGAGGATAGATGTAGATGTCTATGGGCCCCAGCAAAAACCAGGGATTGAAAACGGTTACAAAATACCGGTATAGAACCGGTATTTAGGGGTTTCGGTACCTATACCGGAACAGGAACCAGAACCTAAATTAGAACCTTTAAGAACCTTTATTTTACCGGTTCCTAAGCAAAGCGAAAGCGAGGCAAAACTTTTTTGAGGTGCGGTCGGATGGAAGAGAGGGGAGTTTGTAAAACATCACTTATGTATTGCTGGATCTTCTGTTGCATATTAACGCAGCGTTGCCAACTCTACGGATTTATGCGTAGATCTACAGAATTTTGTTATCATCTACGGAACTACAGAATTTGAGGTCGCAATCTACGGAATCAAGAATTTTTTTATCATGAGTGTGAACGTGAACTTGCCCACAATGTCATTCTCTCTCTCTTCTTCTATGTTGTGTGTATTAAATTATATTTAATAATTAATTCTATGCTATCTGTATTAAAGTAAAACCATTTTTCTCACAAATATCAAATTTTTGTGACGTTAATCTATTTTAAATTTTAATAGCTCAGATATTTTGCATTAAATTACGTTTATTTCGAATTTAGAACACTTCTTGGAAAATAGGCAGTTAATATAAGCGCTTATAATTTTTTATAGATTATTGAATTATCACTTATGTCTCAAATTTTTCTAATCCATGCTATCCTAATTGTTTTTACAATTATTAATAAAAATTCTGCGGAATAAGTCTTCGCTTTTCCTCGATCTTTTTTTTCGATTTTCTCAAAGTTTTTAGTTATCAATTTCATTTTTACATAAATGACCCGAGTCTGAAACACCGTAATATATCAAATAAACTAACAAAAACCATAAAATAAAATCTATGTTAATAAGTCGTTATAATCAAGTTTGTAACGTATTTTTTTAGTATAACTATCTACAAATATTAAAATGTGTATAGTAATTTTATTTATTTTTTACTAAAAATTATTATTTATAAGAAAACAGTTAATTTTTAATCAATTTTATGGTACTTTTTCTTATATGTGCAGCTTGATTCGATGTTATACTACAATTAAACTTACAACAAGAATTTTCCATGACAGAAATAATTTTTCCCAAAAAATTAATCTATTCTATGACAAAAACAAAAATTATAGATCCTCAACGGAACGGATATTTTGAAATAGCTTCTACGGAATCCTACGGAATTTTTTATACCAATATACGGATTTGGAGAAATTTGATTAAAGGTTCTCGGAACCGGTACATCGGAACCCAAACCGGAACCGAAACCGGAACTGGAACCGTACCGAAAAGAGGAACCTTTATTAGAACCTAAATGAAGAACCAGAACCGATATTGGTACCGGTATTCAATCCCTGGCAAAAACTCACCAATCAGATGGACTGTGTTCTCGTTTGTCACTCTTATCCTATAAAAAAAAACTTTCCATTGAACAGATAGAGAGAACTTTCTATAGAATATTCCAGTATCATTGTGATCAAACAAGTTATGAACCTTAATTTAAAGTCAATGGAAACGCTAATTTATTAACGATAATAATCTTATAAGACCGTTAATATAATAATATAAATGTGAATAAAATTAATAAAAAACACTTACGTCAACAAGTTCGGCTTTAATATTTTTTAGCGCACTGAACTTTCTGACTTTACATCCTTCTAGGTAACTGTTGGCATAATATTTTAATTTAATATAAAAATAATTATACGACATAAATGTATATTTACAAATAATATTTTTTCCTAAATCTTAGATTCCCAAAGCCCAGTATAACGAGTGCAGAACGCCATTTTATTCATTATCGCACCGACCAATGGTAGAGAGTGGCGTAACTAATTAGGTCGCATATCGCACGCACCCGCACGCCCGCTGTAATCGCTCTATCATATCAATCAGTCGGCCAGAAACAATCAATTAGAAAGCGATCCCCTTTCAATTATTTGCCGTATCGGTACGTAATTGCCTCGCTGGATCCAAGGGGGCGTTATTCGAGCCTTCATTACGTGTTATGGTGACTAATGACCGACTAATGTCGATTGCTATACTCTTCAACCGATATTCTAAAAATACTGTGTGCAATAAATTTAAAAAGAAATATTTTTAACACTTTAAAAAGTGCATATGTTTTAACCGTATACTTGTAACTTATATCCCGGAAAAATTGGTTGGCACGACCGGGGTAGGACCACGCTCTTATAGAAACCAGCCAGCAAACCATCAAATGTTGCATATTATGATATTTGTAGAGAACAAGAGACTCTGTTACTGATGACGAAGATTTTCATCTTAGTCTTGAAGGGTAAAAACCCATCTGCATTTTGATTCTTAATTAAGAATAATTGTAGTTTACAGGGTACAACATCCACTTATCATTACGTGCACTGTGTTCTCGTTTGTCAAACCTACTTTGATAGAAGTATACTTTAAATACACAAAATTATCTTTCTTCTCTACATAATATATAAAACAATCAATCGTTTCCGGCCGTCTGTATACTTAGATCTTTTAAACTACAAAACGAATTTTGATGCAATTTTCATCAATAGACAGAATGATTTAAGAAAAAGGTTTATATGTATAATACATGCATATTATATATTATATTATTCAACTGTCCGTGGGTATCTGACTGAACTCCAATTAAACTGCTGGACCAATTTTGATGAAATTTTGTGTTAGTAGTTAGGTTAGTTAGAGAATGGTTTAGATTCACAATTGGACCAGGTAGGTGGCGTTATTGTCGAGATCCAGAAACCAACCGTGCGAAGCCGGGCGGATCGCTAGTTTTCTTATAAGATTGTTCTGATTCTTCTTCAGTAGCATTATTTTATTTTCTGATAAAACATAATTACAAAAGTGCATTGTTGGTACTCGTAATTGTTGCTATGGTCATCAATAACAATACGTAATACAATCCGTCAAGTTTGGACACCTGAGTCGCCGACAGCGTGTGATGGATGACTGCTATTGTCACTTGGGTCCCGAAATTCGTATACGGTTTGTATTCATTAAGCATACCGAGATAAACAGGACCCTACTAGTTATATACAGATTACATGCATTATATTCTATAGTTCTACAATAGTAACGATAGTTACTCTTTGCGGCAACTGATAAAATTACAAATTAACGTAATTGTCACAATTATTGGAAGCGCCATCCAGTAGTGTTAGTGTAGTGTAGAAGAAGAATGGGAATAATAATTATTATAAAATTGTATGCAGGAAATCGCCATGTTGTTAATTATTGTAACATAGATATATAAAACAATAACATATATTATATATATATTAATACGCCGAGCGATTCACACCGGCTTCACACGGGTGATTTCTAGATCTCGACAACAGCGCCACCTAGTCGTGGTCTATACTTCACGCGCCTCGGTTAGGCAAATCACGAAGATTCGTAATTATTTTCTGTTCCGGACCTACTCCTTTTGATCGTAACTTTTTGATGTTCCTTTGAGAAGTATGACCTCAAGCTCTTTATCTTGTCTTTAACGGTTTTTACATTTAATTATATTTTTCGCTCAGAAAAATCAACGCGTCATTTCTTTTTTTTAATTTGTATAATCTTTGTGCTTGTGTTGCCACATTGATATGTTCGATAATCCATCAATAAATTCTAACCTTTTTAACATTGTCTTCCGTCATTTTGTTTACTAAAATACATGAAATGTTGCATGCGAACCCACCGGTGACGGATCAGCTTTCGCTAGAGGCATGCGCTGTTGTCAAACTAGTTTAACGCATGCGCTATTGCTTGCGCTATGGTTGCTCAGGCATGCGTTAGAGAAAATGAACAGGAAAGTGTACTGGTGTACTATGTACACTTTAATAAATAAACCACGTTCCATAAACTAAAAGAAATAGGAGTATTTAATAAAACCTTTTTTCAACTTGAGCGTAAAAATAAAAAGTCGACCAAAACACTCGTCAAACTAAAAGCCTATAAATGACAATGAAATGTCAATTGCATATACTTAATAAAAAAATGAGAAACCCACAAAATATTACCAGATTCTAGTTATATGATAGGATGGTAAGAACCATTCGGAGTGGGTGGGACCATGAACAATACTGCCATTGCTAGCATCGGATTAATACTACTCGTTGTTCTGCTCTACATACGACAGAAATGGAAACAGAAGGTTTGATCTTCTAGGCTCAATTTACATTGCCACGGAACGGAATGGAAGCGAATTTTTGTAACGAAATTGTACATAGTAAAATGAATTTTATGTTAATTGTGTAACGTGCAAACTAGATATGAGCTAAAAAAGAAGTCACGCGTTGTGAGGCAGAAGTTTTGCTCTTCAAAAGACTTCTTCTTCTGCCTCACAAATAAGCAATATGAAAATAATATCCAATCACCCATTTTTGTCAAATAAAAGATCTAGACTAAGTAACTGAACGGTGCACATAGGGGCAAGACGCAGTCGCGGGAATTCGCGCGCCTTCCCACACGATGAGTCGAAATTGACGTTTCCGCTCCATTCCATTCCGCCGCAATGTAAATTGAGCCTTATTTTACTAAGCCTAACTACTTTATAAGCAAAGTAATAAGTATGTTTAGAATTTGCCGTTGTAGTGTTGGGTGGTTCGGGGAATAAATAAAACGTCCAATAGTCTAGACGGTAAGTTTAATACTAATACTCTCTTATTCTATCCTACATATATATAAGCACACACTACACGCCCATCGGCAAAAAGAAAAAAAAATCATTTACAAAAATATATTTTTTTTTTTTTAAATGTAACATAACTTGGTTTATAAAAAAAAATTATATAAAAGGTGTACATTACAAAGTATTAAAATTCTTATACTATAACATACTTATATCATAATAAAAAAAAAAATCGTAAACACAGTAATTTTTAATTAATTTTATTTGTATTTATAGTAATAATAACAATTTTATTGTTTTATGTATATGGTCTAGTGCGATTTTTATGTATTGACTTATGTTTACCTTTGTAATCTATTGTTACATTTGGTTCACAATCTTCGATAACCTTAAATGGTCCTATATAAAGAGGATCAAATTTGTTTACACATTGTTCATTCTTAAGGAGTATCATATCACCGACATTATATTTAATTGGATTGGTATAGTAATCATACTTTGTTTTCCTACTTTGTTTGCTTAAAATTAAATTATTTCTTGCATCGTATTGCGATTTTTGAAGTCTATATCTAAGTTGTTGTGGATAATCATATGGGTTATATAAGGGCTCTATATCTTAAGTTAAATTAGTTGGCAAACGGCAAAGCTTCCCAAAAACAAGCTCATATGGAGTATACTTGGTTTCCGTGTGTACAGTGTTATTATAACCAAAACACCAATACGGTAACCAAGTGCTCCAGTTATGTGGTTCATTACCTGCTTGAATTCTGAGAAATGACATCAGATTTTTGTGGCTGTTTTCTAAGGAACCTATAGATTGGTGATGATATGCTGTTGACGTTACCTGTTGCGTTTTGAGAATACGGCACACGTCTTTCATGACGGTTGAAACAAATTCGGTCCCTTGGTCAGATATTATTTGTCGAGGAATACCATATCTCAAAATAAAATTATTGATAAAAGACGATGCCACTGAAATAGTATCCTTATGTTTAAGCGGATAGGCTTCAACATACTTACTTAAATCACACTGTAGTGTGAGTATATAAACATTACTATCGCTATCTTTACATAAGGGCCCTACTAAATCTAAATAAACTCTATCAAAAGCAGAATATCCCGTATCGGTTATCACCATTGGTTCTTTTATATGCTTATTTAAGTGCTTATATCGCAAACACTTGTCACATTGGTTTACATAATTAGTCACATCCTTCTCTAACCCGGGCCAAAAGAATCTTTTCTTTATATTGTTTATCATTCGCCTTATACCGGCGTGACCGCTAGTTGGCAATAGATGATAGTCGTTTAATATTATACGTTTTGTCTCATGATCGTCGATTTTATGGACACCATTTAAAATTAATATTCGCGGTCCGGACCTATTTGGTGTCTCATTTATAATACGAGTTAACTCCCTAATTAATATATTGTTATTATTATTTTGTATAATATACAGACAATCTATCTTTTGCTTATTACAAAAGCAATCCAACTCCCTCACAAAGGCATCTCGTGCACAATATGATCGGAAAGAAGGATTTACATAAATTGTTGACTTTGCTGAGACAAAACAAAATAACTTAGAGTTAGAATAGAACTTTTCTTTCATTCTGTCTATCTTTTTCCATTCTTTTTCGTCTACAAATAATAATTCAGTGCAATCCTTCGGTTGTTTAAGTGTTCCCACGACTTTTGGGTGATCAGTCCAATCGTTGGTGGTAACCTTATCCTCCGTAGGGTTGTCACGCTTATCTTGCGCAATTTTGTTTTTTATTCGCTTTCTTTGCGCTCTTGTTAGAACAGATATGACCTTTTCATTCATTTCTTTCAAATCTTCACTCGAAATTTGGATGCGTGACAAAGCATCTGCAGCTGCATTGTCAGCTCCCCTTACATACTTGATAACAAACTTATACTCCTCAAGCAATAACCTAAACTTCGTAAGTCTACTTGACGGATTTGTCATGTTGAATAAATATACGAGAGGCTTATGATCCGTTTCAATAATGAATTCGCGTCCATATAAATAAGGTCGAAAGTATTTTACTGCCCATACTATCGATAATAATTCCTTTTCGATAGTAGGATAGTTTTTCTCGGCTTTGTTTAAAGTGCGGCTAGCATATGCAACCGGTCGTCCGTCATGATTACATAAAACGGAGCCTATAGCAAAACCAGACGCGTCAGTTTTTAAAATAAAATTTTGGTCAAAATTTGGGTACTGAAGTATGGGAGGAGTCGTTAAAGCATTTTTAAGCGTTGAAAAAGATAGTTTACAGTTTTTATTCCAATGAAATTTAACATTTTTGCGACATAAATTGTTTAGAGGTAAAACGATTTCAGAAAATTTTGGTATAAATCTTCGATAGTAATTCGCAAACGCTACTAGTCTTTTTACATCGTTGGTATTTTGAGGAATTGGGTAATTTTGTAATACTGATATCTTTTTTGGGTCAGGCTTAATACCTTCGGAAGAAACAATGTGGCCAAGATAAAGAAGTTCTTTTTTTAGAAAAACACATTTTTTCGGGTTTAACTTTAAGTTTACTTTTCTTAAGCGTGATAATATTTCTATTAAATTTTTATTATGATTATCTAAGTTTCTGCCAAAACAAATGAGGTCGTCTAAATAAGTGAGCGCTTTTTCGTAATTTAAACCAGCCATGGATATTGTAATAGCACGAGAAAAGGAACTTGGGCTTGTCTTTAAGCCCATTGGCATTCTGGTCATCTGATATTGACCAGAGGGTGTAGTGAAAGCCGTATACCTTCTACTAGATGGATTAAGGCTTAATTGGTAAAAAGCTTGATTGAGATCAAGGTGGGTAAAATACATTGCTCCTGATAAGGAATCTAATATGTCTGTAATATTGGGTAACGGAAATTTGTCATCTACAATACAGTTGTTTAATTTTCGAAAATCGATAACCAAGCGCCAGCTCCTGTCCTCACCATTTTCTGGCTTTTTGGGTACAAGAAGCACAGGACTTGACCACTCACTGCAAGCTGGTTCAATAATTCCGTCTTGTAACATATTTTTGACTTGTGTTTCTATTTCGTTCCTCTGAGAATAGGGTAATCGATACTGTTTTACATACACTGGGTCAATATTAGGTTTTAACTGAATATTATGTTCATATAAGTTACAAGTTGTTAATTGATCTCCTGGCAATAAAAATATGTCGGAAAATTTTGCACAAATATGTATAATAGAAGATTTTTCCTCTTTATTTAAATGATCCAAATTTAATAAATTTAACATTTTATGAACGCGTTCGGGATCAATGAGACTTTTATCAAACTTACAAATTGAATAATTATGTAAACTATCGGTTTCAGGTCTAAAATAACTAAGATTGACCGGATCCTCTCGTGTATTTAATATTTTTATTGGTATCTTCCCGTTATTCGCTTTGACAATTCCACCAGACAGAAATACTCCCTCGCATAACTCTTTCGGAAAGACAACACAATCTTCTATCATACTCGCATTGATATAAAATAAATTCTCGCATCTCGGAGGTATACTCAAATAATTATTATTTCCCAAAATACCCATATGCAATGGCAAAGTTACTAATTCATTCATATTATGCAGTGTAATAGTATTCAATTCAAAATTTATGTTACAATTAAATTTACGTAAAAAATCTATACCTAAAATTCCAGAAGTTTCACACGGCAACTGCTTTATAACATGAAACTTATTATTAAATTTCAGCCCGTCAACAGACAATGTTAAATCAACAAATCCCACGGTTCGTAATTTGCCTCCAATTCCGTTTATTGTAATCGGTTTCTTTTGTAATGAAATGTTTAGTTTACTAAGCGTGTCATATTTAATCACACATAAAGAAGCGCCGGTATCTACGAGCCATCTACATTTGATATCATCTATTGCTAACTCAACACAATTACTATATTCGCAACTAAATATATTATTGGTCTCGAAAAAATTCTAGGTTATTTTCACTATTATCGTTATTAGGGTTAATTTCAATATTTTGAGAACTTTGCGATACGCGATATTCTGGTGTTATAAAATGAACTCGCTGGGCATTTTGACCACGAAAAGATCCGCGATTCTGGTATGAGTACTCACCATAATTACCTTTTTTTCCGCGGTGTTGTTGATTTCCACACGAAAACTTTTGGGGTACCGGTTTCCTCCAATTCACATTATTTTTTGCTTGGGTATGCCAAGGATATGTTTGTCGTGGTACATTATTGGATGTATACCTACCACGAAAATTTTTACGCGTTCCCGAACCACCTCGATTTCCGAAATAAATCGATGGTTCGGTGTACTCGCTAGGTCGAACACTAGATGTCTCCTCATCCTTTGCAGCTCTAATTGTTTCTTTTAACGTACTATAATTGCGTGCTGACAAAATAATACTGAGTTGTCGGTTTCGCAAGCCATTTGTGAAACTTTTAATAGCGATCTTTTCATTTATAGGACGTAAAATTTTATGCGCGTTTTGGTCACCATCGGCTTGGGAAATCATCAAATCTACGAATAATTGTTCGATTTTATTGCCATAATTATCTAGGGAACTACTATTTTGTCTTATTTGCATTAGTTCGTTATGAATGGAAGTGTAAGATTTCTTTGTTAAAAGGTGGTTCCGCATATCACTTATAAGCGCCTCGCATGAGTCATAGGAATCTAATAGGCGTAACTTAGCACCTTCATTCAAACGAGTCTTTAACACAAATTTTATTAACATAGACTTACCTTCTTCTTTAAGCGAAGAGCTATATAACTCTATCGAGTCCATCAAGGTTTTGGTGACCGATTCCTCGCCCGTCATCACTGGCAGGAGTGACACAGCAGTTTTAAAGTCGAAACTTTCCATGGTGAATATTTCGCTTTGAATAGTGCCCTTGGAAGTTGATTGAGAGCTGTAATCCTTACTACAAAAGTTTTCTATTTGTCCATATAAACTCTTAATTAAATCGCAATATGATTGTATTTCAATTAATGCATTACTTTTAATTTGTTTACTTTCTATCTCTTTATTTAAAATTATCAAACAATCATCAAATTCTTTACGTAATTGTACTGATTCCTTAAGTTTTTGTTGCAAAATGCTTTTAGTTCGCTTATCATAACTTAATTTAACTAAATTATTTTTAATATTTTTAAATTTTTCATATATTATTATTAATTCACTAGACATGGAAGTACAGTTAAAAAGAAATATCGTTGTCAAAATATTTTAAGGTTTAAGGCATACATATAAGGCTATTTTTATTATTTTTTTTTCTTTTTTTTTAAACTTAAACTATAACATATTTTTCAATTTAAACCTCATTTTTTTCAACTTGACGCTTTCGTTGTCTCCCGGCGGTCCTCATGGCGGCACTCACAGCATACACGGGGTACACGAGGTCCTGGGTCCGGTGATCGCACAAAAGGACGACGCAAATTGTGCATTACCATCTCATTCCGCATCCAGCTTGTATGGCAACTTTTGTATATTTTGTATACACCATAGAGAAGAGCCAAGCCCAAAACTGTGCATATTATAATCAGCACGACGGATATCCCAGACAGGTGGCTTTTAATTTCTTCTACATGTGCAGAATTTGAGCCTCCTGAAGTGTCTTGCGTAATAAATACTTGGTCTTTCTTGACTTCAGAACGACACATTTTTTTTTTTTAAAACGCGGCCCGCGACCGAACCCAGGCAGACCGCCGATGAACTGGCAGGGTCGCCATGTAGTGTTGGGTGGTTCGGGGAATAAATAAAACGTCCAATAGTCTAGACGGTAGGTTTAATACTAATACTCTCTTATTCTATCCTACATATATATAAGCACACACTACAGCCGTAACTACGAATAAAAACAAAAAAAAAGTAAAATTACTTTATTTGTTACTTAAATTCTTCACATATTTGTCCTTAACTTGTACTTGACGTTAAAATAAAAAGCAAGATTAATTAAATACTATAAACTAGAATAAGTTGGAATTAATAAACACAAAAAAGACACCACAACGCATGTCCCACTAAAAATCAGTACTTGATTTTCAGTGATACTTACTAATACTTGAATCATAAATTTCAACTTTTATAATATTCCAAAGTTAAAAAAATAAAATGTATGTTTTCTGCTTCTCGTCACATCTTTACGTAATTTATCGTTAACTAGATAGGTTTTTATATGGTAGAGCCTCACCAGCCAGTAAACCGGGTCGGCTCGACCGTTGAACGACCTTGCTTCCACGGAACACTAGCGTAAAAAAGCAGTAAGTACCTATATTTCCCATTGTGAGCAAAGTGAACCGGAAACGCTTTTTAACACGGTTTTGTCTATGTACATTAATCTTTTAATTTAATTTTCACCAATTTGTAGACGGCGGATTGACTTGAAAAATTGCAATACAAAAATTTTATAACTTTATCCTAATAATATCCTGATCAGGATCACCAGAATCTTTAGTTATCATAGATGATCATGATCAATGCGTTATTTTAAAAGTTTTCATAAATTTTAATATTATTATTGATAGCTAGGTATTCCAATCCATCTTAGTCGTAAGTGTGACACTGCATTTGGAGTTACCCCAAAAAAAAACTACAACACCAAAGACACCGAGCTTCACCGCTGTCAGAGCCACCGACCAAAAGAAATTATGGCAAAAACACTGGGCCAACGTACATAAAATCCCTGAACAATTTTTAACACGTTTTTTTTAAGTCACTTTCTTGTTTGTCTGTTGTTTTTACGCGTGATATTTAGTAATTGATTTTAATTGAATTGAGCTGAAAACTTAAAATTTTGAATATACTTCAAATTCGAATAACAATGCAGGAATATAAAAAATAGAATATTAAAAAAATTATACAATTTTTTTTAAATTCATTTCTTTTATTTTGGGAATGATATTTTAGTATATTATATTCAGCTTTTTTAATATAGTTGCAAAAATAGTTTTAACGACCAGTGTCATAAAAAATAACTTCTGCTGTAACTCATTTCTTCTTTTTCTCATCAGCTCATAAACAGTCCATGGCTGAACATGGGCCTCTGCCATTGATGGAGAATTGACATTTTTCTCCGCACTTTTATAAATTGAATATAAATATGGGATAGTTATAAGTATTAATGTTATACTATACTTAAATATCTATATTTTTGAAACAAAGGAATCCCATAATATCCTTCTAAATTCTCACAACCAGAGGCCCGGTAAATATCCACCGTTTTGTAGTCAACATACCACGCATTTGAACCAAACGGTTTGCTTCGTCATTAAAATGGATAGAGGAAATGGAACGGAGTAATTTGCCCGCATCTATCTTGCTATCCAATTATACGATGTGGATTATGGGTGACTTCAAGGCAGGAATGGCGATTATGGTAAATATCTATTCTCCAATGTCCAGCAGTGGATATTGGAGAACTTAACAGGTTAATAAAGAAAAAGAAAAGGATCCAAATATAACTAGGTTGCTATAGCAATTGTTTGGCATTACTTTTTACAAAGAGAAATTGATTCTTTCAGTCTTCAACTGCTAACGTTCCATTCCACAACCTTCGAACTTGTACTTATTTGTGTTGTCATTATTGTTAGTAATTTTTACCAAATATTAACATCCCAAATTTTTATTCTATTTTACAGGCAGAGCCAGATCCTCCAACCGTCTCCGTCCCCGTGCAACTAGTACACCGTCTCTGCCCCCATAACAATGTAGTGCAACGTTACGCCGTTGAGCAGAAGGACAGTCTAGATGAGCATCTTGATCTTCTTGCCCGGAAATTGGCCGAGAAGGTTAGCCAAACGAGTAACATTTTACGAGAAATTCTTTCCGTAGTATTTATAACATGGTGAAACTCTATCTTAATAAACAGTAACATCCACTACCCTATAAGACCCGTGTCGTAAGAGGTGACAGAGGGAAACTGAAACAGGAGATGGGCAGCAGCATCTTCCTGAAAACAACACAATATAATAAAACAACTGCAGTTACCAACCCGCTACCCAAGCGTGGCAACTATGGCAAAAACCTCCCTATGAGTGAATCTATGAGGGAGACCTATGTTCAACAGTGGACTTTTATAGGCTGTAATAGATGAACGCGTTTGCCGTGTAGTGGCGGCTAAGAATCTCTACTACCCCATATCTTCCCGTGGGTGTCGTAAAAGGCGACAAAGGGAAACAGGCAGGAGATGGGCAGCAGCATCTTCCCGATAACAACAAACTTACAATAAAAAAACTGCGGTTGCCAACCCGCTCGCCAAGCGTGGCAACTATGGCAAATACCCCCCTATGATGAGAGTAACAAAGAAACGGCCCCCAGTCCCCGGCGGCCCCGCTATTCCTGGCTACGGTGGCGACCATGGTAACGGCGGGGCAGGGGGTGCTACGAATCTCCGGTGGGGGTTTGGTTGCCACCTAAGACGACTCGACCTGGCAACATACAACGCACGCACCCTGAGGACTGACAAGAAGATCGTGGAGCTGGAAGAAGAGATAGACAAGTTACGCTGGCATATTATAGGATTATCTGAAGTCCGAAGAGAGGGGGAGGACACGGTAATCCTCGAATCCGGCAACTAGCTCTATCACCGGGAGGGCGATCATCTGTCCCAAAGAGGTGTTGGATTTATCGTCCACAAGTCTCTCGTTAACAACGTTGTAAAGATCGGTAGTATGTCGACGAGGGTTGCGTACCTTATACTCAGAATCACCAAACGGTTTTCGCTGAAGGTCATACAGGTTTACGCACCAACCTCGGCACACCCCGATGAGGAGGTGGAGGAAATGTATGAGGATATCTCTAGAGCCATGCATTCCTCCAAAACCTAATATACGGTGTTAATGGGAGACTTCAATGCAAAACTAGACACAAGAGAGAACAGTGAGCTGAAGGTAGGGAAATTTGGAATAGGGCAACGGAACCCAAGGGGCCAGCAGCTGGCCGACTTCATGGAGAAATAGGGACTCTTTATGATGAACTCTTACTTCCAGAAGCGGCCCCACAGGAAGTGGACCTGGTCGAGCCCCGACGGTTCGACAAAAAATGAGATTGACTTCATTATGACGACCAGACGACAACTGTTCAGTGATGTCTCCGTGATCACGAGGGTGAAAACTGGTAGCGATCACCGAATGGTTAGAGGCACACTGAACCTAAACGTTAAGTTGGAGAGGTCTTGTCTAATGAAGTCAACGTTCCGTCCCCCTCGTGCTCTGTTCCAAAGTCCCGAAACCTTTCAGCTCGAGTTACAAAACCGTTTTCAGTGCCTAGAAGACTGCAATGAAGTGGACTATATGTATGACAAGCTCGTGGAAACTGTCCATGCGGTCGGAGCTAAGTTCTGCAAAACCCGCCGCAGAAGAACACAAAAACTCTCCGATCACACTCTTAATCTCATGGCTGTTAGACGGGAGATGAAGCTACATTCTTCAACAGATTTGACAGCATACAGGCAATTGAACAGACAGATCTCCAAATGCATGCGGCGGGACTTACGCAACTTCAATACAGCTCGTATTGAAGAAGCGATCGAGCGAAACCAAGGCTCCAAAGTCTTTGCCAGAGATCTGTCTGCCCGAAAGAAAGAGCCAACTGTCGAAGCTGAAGACCGAGTGTGGCAGCATCGTTTCCGGGGCACCTGAGATTTTGAGTAAGATTGAGAGGTTCTATGGGCAGCTGTACACGTCATCGTTGGAGCCACACGCAAGTGTGAGTAACGATCCTAGAGCGAGTCTTATCCGACACTATTCCGAAGATATCCCAGACGTCAGTCTGAGCGAGATTAGAATGGCTCTCCAGCACCTTAAAAACGGCAAGGCCCCAGGGCGAGGATGGAATTACAGCGGAGCTTCTGAAAGCAGGTGGAAGACCGGTACTTGAAGTCCTTCAGAAGCTCTTTAATTCCGTTCTCCATGGTGGCATTACACCGGAGGCGTGGAGCAGAAGTGCTGTGGTCTTGTTCTTCAAGAAAGGTGACAACGCTCTCTTCAAGAACTACAGACCGATTTCCCTTCTGAGCCGCGTCTACGTGCTGTTTTCGAGAGTCATTACGAATCGTCTCGCGCGCAGAATTGACGACTTCCAGCCTCCCGAACAAGCCAGTTTCCGAAAGGGCTTTAGCACCATAGACCATATACATACCCTTCGGCAAATTGTACAGAAGGCCGAAGAATACAATTTGCCACTATGTCTGGCGTATGTGGACTATGAGAAAGCGTTTGATTCCGTCGCAATTTAGGCGGTGCTGCAGTCCCTTCATCGGTGCCAAGTTGACTGTCGGTATATCGAAGTGCTGAAGTGTTTGTACAGTAGAGCTACGATGGCTATCCGAGTACAGAACCAGAGTACGAAACCTATCCAATTGCAGAGAGGTGTAAGAGAGGGTGATGTTATATCCCCGAAACTCTTCACCGCTGCATTGAAAGTATTGTTTAATTATTGAAGTAATATATAATATAGTATAGAAGTTACAGCTTTTACGTCTCAATGCATGGCAGTGACCTCCTCTTATTTCTGAGGGGGTTACGAGCTACTGAGTTCCTCCAATACGGGGTAAAATATCACTTAAATTAAAAATTGTATTAGAATTTCTGAATGGACTGTAGCATCGCCCAAATTTTGTTGGAGTTAAAGGCTTTCTTATAGTCCACGTACGCAAGGTAAAGTGGCAGAGTGGCTCTTTGGTCTGCTGTACAATTTGGCGTGGTCTATGGTGCTAAAGTATATTCGGAAACCGGCTTATTCGAGAGGCTGGAAGTCGTCAGTTACCTGATAGTGACTATTTACTGCAGGCCGTGAACACAAGCACTAAATCAAAGAAAGCACAAATGTATCTTCTGATTCATCATTATCATGATTATTGCCACATATATATAAGTCATATAAGTCCACTGCCAAACAAAGCCACCTCCAAGAAATGCCACAAAACACGGTCCTGAGTGACCTGCATTACTCCATTTAGTGGGGAGGAGTGTCGGAGTGCGCAGTCAAATCCGAGTTTCTTGCGTACTGTGAAATTCACAGTGAGCGCTAACCTCTAAGCTAACACGGTTCCCATTGTATCATTGCTATAATATTTCATGATTTTATAACAAAACTTAAGTTTAAAAATTCTCTATCGTTTATGGGGAGCCCTATGTTCAGCAGTGGACTTGTGAAAGACTGTAATAATAATGATGATGATGATGATCCTTACTACTAGAATAACCACTCCAGGTATAACACTATAGGTAAATCCTTTACGACGTTATGTTCATTATGTGTAATTAGGAAGGAAGACTACGGCTCTCCAAATCGAGGATAGCAGAGACGCAAAATGAGATCGAGAATCTTCACGCCATCGATTATGACCTGCGTCACAAGTATCGCGAGATTATGGACTCCTTACGCAACGATCTGTTGAACAACGAGAAAGAATGCAAGCGCCTGCAGGAGCAGATTGAATGGGTCTCGCGAAGGAGAGCTGAACTACATGATGAGGTAAATTATGTCTTCTTCTTCAACAGTAAAATATGATTCTACTAGGTGGCAGGACTCTTTTTGAAGTTATATTCTTTTGGGGCGTTCGGCAAAAATGATGATAGTAAATTTTTACGATGCGCGCGCACAACGATACCTAAAAACGACACCATGAAGTTGTTACGATACGCGCGCACACTGACACTTAAAAGCGACAACTTCAGTCGGTAATTGTCTCTCAAGTTTTTTTGTTGTGTTACGCTAAAGAAGTATAACTTCCTACGTGCGTACATAAGTAGGTACACACACACACACACACACACACACACACACACACACACACACACACACTATTTTCACCAAGGAGTGGTTTTGTAGGTACCATCCTCTTACCTATTTCTGCCAACAAATTGTGCTTGCACTGCTGCGTTCCAATCTAAAGAGTATAGAGTTCTCAGAGGTAACAACGCATCTATAGCCTACATTGTTTGAAGTTGGCCGCAGGTGTCCGTGGACTGCAATAGCCACTTACCATCAGGTTTTTTAAGTTATACTTCTTTTCGTCGTTTGGGATAAATGATGAGAGTGAATTTTTACGATGCGCGCGCACTATGACACCGAAAAGCGACAACTTCAGCGGGTAATTGTCTCTCAAGCTTTTTTGTTTTGTTTCGCTAAAGAAGTATAACTTCCTACGTGCGCACATAAGTACACACACACACACACACACACACACACACACACACACACACACACACTTTTTATAAAATTGAAGTGACAAATAAACTTACATACATTGCACTTGATAGTAAGGGGGCTGCTATAGTCTATATACACCTTCAAGTAACATTAAACAAGGGTTGCCTCATAGCATTATTATTCTAGTTTTCTACTCTCTACCCTTCAGATCGGAACACGGCTGTGCTAGTACCGCTTTATGGCGCCAGAAATTGATAAGAGGGTCTCTACCTAGATTTCTAGGAAGAGAAAGAGTCTCAGACAAGTAGATTTTCCTATTGATACCAACACGATCAATCAGCATTTAAAACTCCAATTAATAATTCCAATTGCTATGATTATGTGTAGTACTACATTTTTTTTGAATAAGGGTGACAAACGAGCACACAGTCCACCTGGTGGTAAGTGGTTGCTGTGGCCCATAGACATCTACATCTATCTTCGTTTGCGAATCAAAATGCAGATGCGTTGTCAGCCGTGAGGACTAAGATAGAATGCCTCTTTTCCAGTAATAAAGGGTCTCCTTTTCTCTACACTCACCATACGAAACACAGCAGCATTAAGCTGCTATTTTACGCTGGTATTCTGTGAGAGCGTGGTCATACCGTTAATATAGCTGCAGCATGGCTCTACCATGTGTTACGGCATATATTTATCTATGGTTACGGCTCACTATTAATATTAACGTATTTGAGGGTATTTCAAAATTTTAAACGTTATTTAGTTACACCTAATATTTAAAAATGTATTCTATTATATACTCGTAAGTTAACCATTTATTTTATAATGATTAACAAAATTGCTGATGTATCTAGATACTTCACAAGTGCGGCGAAAACAGAAAATTGAACAAAAAGCATTGACAATAGCGGATTAAAAAGCAAAAGGTTGCTAGATCAACAGTATACTCGTAATATTTGTTTAGTTAAAATTATAAATGTATCTATTTGTATTAATTTTAGGTTCGTCGCAGTCAGAGGCTGTATGGAGATGCAGCCGTTAAACTTGCCACCAACTTAGCGGAGCTGCAGCGTGGTCGAGAAAGTAGAGTAACTGATAAACCTCAAATACAAAATTCCTTTGATTCTCTGCGTTTAAGAAAAGAACCTCACTTTCCAAACTCTTCGCCAGTTTCTTCGGTCATTATAAAAAGTTCGCCTACAACTACACACAACCCTTTTACCCACTTCAGTTAATCGCATTAAGTTTACAAAGGCCGTTACTTCAAGGAAAATTATTTTTACAAAAATATGTTTTTGATTTGCAATTTTATAATTTTTTTGTTCACAAGTAAAATAAAAATGTAAGTACATTATTTGCATTTTTCATTGTTGGATTTGTTTTCTTTACCGTCTATCATTATCGTGAATTAGCCCACAGCTAGATTTATTCGAAATGGAAAATAATAGGTTTACATTTTATTATTTATATTCGTGTAGATTGGTTTTTGAGTATGCAGTACCATTATGAAACTAGTAGTTGCGGAGTGGATTCCACTGGCAAATGAATCCCACAACTACGTTGTTTTTTATTTCAAATCAATTCAAAGTCGACAAAGACATCGCGTAGGTTAGGCCTCCTCAAAGAGTATGTAATCACTACGTTTTGTTAATGTTTTTTTAATAAATTCAATTTGAAAGACATCGACTTATAATCGATATTGATACATATGTATAATCGAATCCAACCTCGATTTCTCCATCTCTTTTTTTAATTACTATCCTAAGCCAATGCTTGACTCCTATCCCACGTGATGGTAAGTAGTGATGCAGCCGAAGATCGTAAAGCGCACTAACTTAAGTCGACAAAAGCCTATTCACTTTTGTTTTGAAGGCACAGTAAGTTGCCAGCATCTGTCTTTCCATCAGATTACAACCTGGTAATCTGATGGAAAGACAGATGCTGGCAACTTACTCCACTCCTTTGCTGTATGCGTGACGAAGGATTAAACTCTTCTTTGTGATAGAGCCAAGCCTCAGCTACATTATGGTTGTAGCACGAATGGGTCGGATTGACCGAGGTGGGGACACTTTCTCTTAGAATACCAGCGTAAAATATCAGCTTAACGCTGCTGTGTTTCGTATATTTGGTGTAGAAAACCGGAGACCCCTTTTACTGGAAACGAGACATTCAATCTTAGAACCCTGGGATGACAACGCATCTGCATTTTGATTCTTAATCAAGGATAAATATAGACGTCTATAGACCACATCATCCATTTACCATTAGGTGGACTATGTGCTCGTTTGTACCCTTCTTCTATAAAAAAAAGCAAACCGTTTGGTTGCTTTTTGTTGCGCTGTGATTCTACCCCGTCCCCGTGGATTCGATACTGTATCTGATCTTATTTATTTATTTATTGTTAAGTATACAACAAAACCTACAACTACATTACTCCACAATCCTAAACTACACATTCTACTAAATCTAGAAATTTCTGAAATGTTTATCCGCAGCTGTTGAGATCTGTTGCATGTTATTGACAAGAACTGGAGAACCTTTTTACTGGTGACGAGCGAGACATTGTATTTTAGTCTTCAGGGGTGTTTATGAATCTAAATTTTGAGTTTTATTCGAGGATAGATGTAGGTGTCCATGGGCCCCAGCATACACTTACCATCAGGTCGATTGTGTACTCGTTTGTCATCCTTACTCTATAAATACCTGCGCAAATTTAATCTAAAGATTCAATAGTTTTATAATTGAATATATTCGTAAAAAATACGTAGGTATTTTTATAACATTACATTCATACTTAAAATAAATAGGTAGGTACACAAACAGTAAAAGCGCTTGGAACCTTAAAATACAAAATTTATGAACTTCATCCGATATAACTCTATCCAATCACTAATTAGCACCGCTTTATTTTGAAGTGTAAAGCATAAACATTACCGTGTGTAATAATACAACTAGATGAGCATTTTTATTGCAACTCTAAATAAAACAAAAGCATAATAAAGTTGCCGTTAATATCCCAAACGTATCCGAAGAGAGAAAACAACCGCAGCACGTCCCTACCCCCTTTTATATCTCGTTAATTCCGAGGGTTAAAATCCCCGAAAAAGTGAGCACTTGCCTTGTTTACAAGGTTTTAGATTTTAATTTAGATTGGGGTCGGTGTACGTTGGCGCGCGAAATGACGTAAACGTCACCCGTAATGACGCGAAAATTGAGTTCTTTTACGAGGACGGTTAGGTCGGTAGAGGTTTTAAGAGGGGTGTGTTGGCCGTATCCATTAAGATCACATTCGTATGTGATCACCTAATACAATATCATCAAGTCCGTGCCGAGGGCGCTTTGTGAATAATTTCGCGGCAATCTGCTCGCATTTGTGACGGATTTGTATAATTTTAATTTCATAATTATTGTGTGGATGAGATAAACACAAAGTTATTTAATGATACTCTACTGGATATATTTAATAGATATTCGATTAGAGATCTTATTGATAAATTCACATAGCATGTTTTTTTTAAACACTTTTTACCATTAAAACAAAAATTTCAACCAACAAAGAACGTAAACGCAGTGCTGCGAACATTATAAGTAAACGTAGTGATTTATTATACTCTTTGATTTAAAAAAAAAAAGCAGAAAACCTCAGCACACATAGGCACTTAAAACCATGTTGTTGATTTCAAATTATTTTATATGCATATGCTAGGAGAGTGTGTGGTCTTTACAATAAATTAAGCATGTTTTTGGCTTGGTTTCGGCGTGACTTGAAAGGTACGCAGCTCTCTGTCCATCTTTCTCTGCTAATCATATACAAAAATAATAATAACCGGTGTTTACATGTCGCCAAAATATTTAGAATTTCTCAGAAATGCAGGTTCCTCACGTTGTGTTTAGTGACTTTCAATAAGTGTTATTTATAATCTATATTGAATAAAAAAAGTTTCTGTTTCTGTTTCTGTTTCTGTTGTTTTCCTTTGCCATACGGGCTAAATCATCACCTAAAAGTGCAATTAACTACGTATTTTAATTCATTGGCGCCAACTGGAATCGAATTTCGTTTGTACACAAGCAAACGAAATTCGATTCCTGTTGGCGCCTTAAAAGTACGACGATCTCTTACCGTCTAAGCTACTATATGCTTGTATTAATGTACAGTGAACTCCTAATGAGTTGTAATATTGTTTTTATAAAATAACGGTGATAAACGAGCACACAGTCCACCTGATGGTAAGGGAATGATGTAGCCCATAGAAGTCTACATAAATCCTCGATTAAGAATCAAACTGCAGATCCATTGTCATTCTTGAGGACTAAAATGAAATGCCTCGTTTCCAGTAAAATGGGTTTCCGGTTCTCTACACTCACCATACGAAACACATCACCATTAAGCTGCTATTTTAAGCTGGTATTCTGTGCGAGCTTTGTCCTACCCCGGTAGAGCCGACCAATCCGTGCTACAACTATACCAGTAATATAGCTGCAGCATGGCATGGCATGGCAAAAATGTAATGTAATGTAATGAATAAAAGAAAAATATTGGTATGCTTACATTCTAACCGTCGCGCCACACTATTTCGTCAATCTTGTACACCCAATATAATGTACACCCTATACGTAATGAGCTAGATCTATGCCCAGCTGTGAAGCATTTACAGGTAAACAGTAACAAAAAACTTGCATGATGCATTCAATTTATTACAAGCAAGCCTATCATAAACGCACCGTGTAGTGGCAGTGCAAGAATATCCACTACCTTATATCATTCCGCGGATTTCGTAAACGAACGAGAACGAGAGTCGTGAGTCGCAAGAGAGAGTTGGGCAGCAGCATCTTCCTGATATCAACTCAATATATAAGAAACTGCGGTTGCCAAACTGCTTGCCAAGCGTTGCCACTATGGAAAATATCCCCTCTATGAGATATTGGCCTATGGTTGAGGTCTATATATCATCAATTGACTATTGATAATACATTCTGTTTCTTAATTAAGAATTAAAATTTTGTTATCAAATTGCCACAATTTCCAGCAGGTGGACTGTATCCTTATTTTATAAAAAGGCTACTGGACCTCGAACCAGAATAGAAAGTGCATTTGCAGATAAAACCATTGCAAAAAGTTTTCATTACACACCACGCTCTCACAGAATACCAACGTGAAATAGCGACATAATGCGATTTCATATGGGAGGTGTAGGGAACAGGAGACACTTTTTGCTGGTATCGAAGCGTTCCATCTTAGTCCTCAGGTGCAAATGCAATTGTATTTTGATTCTAAATTGATGATATATATAGGTGTCCATCCCACAGAATCCGTTGCCAACGAGTGGACTATAGGCTGGTTTTTTAAACTCTTATATCTTTTATGTAATAATATACCCTTCATGTAGTTTTTATTAAGATATTAAATTCAATACTGTAACCCTAACATGAGCGAAGCCATAGGAAAAGTCTAGATTGGATATAAACAGCACTCGTTCAATTTTAAGTGGCAGTGACACCGCAATCACATCTGTGCTCCTCAAACATGTTAAATAGAGTTTTGTCCAATTGTTTGTTTTTCTTTTCGCCTGTCTGTTCCGCCGGGGGCTTCGAGTGCTTGTTCAATTGGTTCAACAAACACGCTTGTGTGTCAATAGGGCAAGGGATGTCCATGTTAATTGATTAGTTGTGGTTTATTTTTTTTACTATTTGCATTCGGTTTTCTTCAAAAGAGTGCAGAGCTTATTTTGTCATTAATATTCTAAATATTGAAAACATTTTTATCAAACGGATATTATAGAATGTATTATATCCATGGGAATACTATTTTACTAGTCTATTAAGGCTGTGGGGTCTCAAAGTTTTTATTATCATCATTACCACAAAGCACGAGAAGTCACCTGCATCCATCTACTCCTTGCATGTTTCATAAAGAACGCCACACAGTTCGTTTGCCAGTACAAGACTGTCACTGTGTCACTAGAGAACCTTCTTTACCTACAAAAGTTTACATATGACCAGAATACTAGAGTCTTATTGTGGTGACGAACGAGGTGGCAGTCCTGTTAGTGTGTGGGTTCTGCGGCATATGAAAACCTACAAATAAATTTTAAAAATAAGTAACCCCTTTTTTCTACGGATAAATGCCAACGCATACGCGCCTCGCCTGTGAGAGCATGGTCTTTACCCGGTCGTGCAAAATATTTCGTGATGCATGCAAACATAGCAGTAGCTCTAGCAGGTTGAAGTATTGATT